CTAAAAGGTAGAAAATAAATTTAATGTAATATATGTATGTATGTGGGTACATTAATAACGACCGCTTAAAATCGATCTCAGATTTGTACTTTCGCTGTAGAAATTTTAGGTCTCTGTTATGTATGTAGTTTGAATATTGTCAATTAAATCTAATGCTTTGTATTTCATGCGCTCCACGTTTTTCGTTTTCAATCTCATAAATTGTTTATAATGACTTGCTAAAATTCCAAAATCAAAAGTTATCAAAACAAATTCTATGGGACTGAGATATATTATTATTACAACGTTTTTATCAACTTGCAAAGTTGTATGTCCAGACCGCTTTGAATGTTGTATGTCCAGACCACCATTTATACTAGCTGCATTTTTTTTGTAAGCGAGCGACAAAAGAACGCTCAACTCGGGTAAAATTTCCTTTTAGCTACTTAAGGAACCCTTTTGGTAGCTGGCAGGAAAATGTGATTAGTTTAACGGGATTTAGATACAAAAACCAATTTAAATGAGTAATTATGCGAGGTATTTTCGTAATATATATACTCTTTTAAAATATAAGTCACGTATAAAACGAAGCGAAAATTTCCCTCTCCACTTTCCCATTAACAATTCACAATAGAGCAGTTTTTTCGCTTACCAACAATAGCCTTCAAGTCGCGTATTTTTTAACCGACCTGGCTGAGCTCGGATAAATAGCCGAGTTTGTGTTGTTGCTTTGCGTGTATTTCGTCATTTAATCGAGTGTTCTTTTGTAGTTCGGTTGCAAAAGAATGCACCTTCTATAAATGTAGCAAAGCTATTTATCGAAAATTCTAGATATCAACCTAGTCTAGATATCAACCTCGTTGTAGGCATCATATCAAGGAGATACAATTAGAAGACTCTAGATGTCGCCCCGCCAGAAGAAGTTAAATATTGCGCCTAAACATATGCACTATTGATATACGTCACAGCGGAAATTAACGACACGCCATTTCTTTAAATGAAATAAACTGCTGCTATATGTAAAGTGACGGGCAAAACTGTAACATGGTGTAACACTTTTTACTTCAGTCATCGCTATCTTTCCAAGTTCTAACGACTTTCATACTTTTGTTGTACGTTATTATTGGTGCACCTGTACTTCCTCTCTCATAATGATTTGAAGTCAATCCAACAACAATAATAAAACCAGCAGACAAAAATGTAAATTAAGGCAGATGTTACAGTTTTGCACTCATATATTTTTAAGAACTTATTAACAATTTTAACGAGAAAAAAGAACTACTAACACAATGTTCAGTACCCTTTTGCTTGTTTTAGTTTCTGGGTGCGATTTGGCATACCTTATTTTTATCTCTGTAAAACTTCTGGAGGTATGTCCTCCATATATCCTTAGTTTGCTTTCACAGCTCATGTACTCGATTTTACGGACTTTGATACTTATTAAGCTGTGCTTTTAGTTGATTTCGCAAATTCTCGTTACGCATAATGCGTACTAACGGACCAACAAAATTTTTTAAAAACAACCCCAAACAATTACTGACCGACCACTGTGATTCACAGTTTGCCTTACATGATGCGCATGGGCTTAATTTGGGTCTTTGATCCAATACCATGCCCGGCCATCTGATTGAAAGCAATTAATTGAGTCTTGTCAGACCAAATAACCTTCAATTGAAACTTAAAAATATGTTTTTTATTGCATTCTGAAAGGCCTAACATATCCCAATAGGCAACGGTCCGATTTTCGGGCGACACAGCAAAATGCTACCACTCTCGCACATATATTTTGGTCAAATTATCTTTTGTCTTCTTTTATGATGCCTTTGCGCCAATTCGGCAATTCGTCGCCTCGCTGTCTACTGATTTGCATTAAAGTTTAATACCTTAAGCGCTTCTGTAATAGTGGCTGCATCGCTACTTGCTGCTAAGTTCACAAGATATTGGACCATAATATTTTTTGATAGACTTCCTTTGCCCTTGGGAACACTTTAGGCTATATTTTTGATCAATCTAAATATTTTCAAGTAGCAAACTCCACAATTTTTTGCCACTTTCCTGCGGTCCCGCCTTTGCACAGTAAATCTATTATTTACATTTATGGTTCCTGATTAACTATATTATTTACTGGTGATTACTTCTTCAATAAATTACAATACAGAAAAAAGTCATCTGACTTCGAACTAAGTAAAAAATAACTGTAAAATGCGAAACTGAGAGTGAGTGCAAAACTGTAACATTTGGCTTTATTTACATTTTTGTCTGCTGGGTTTTTTTATTGTTGTTGTATTGACTTCAAATCGTTATGAGAGAGGAAGTAGGGATGTACCAACAAGAATGTACAACAAAAGGATGAAAGTCGTCAGAACTTGGAAACATAGCGGGGGTAGTGTTACACCATGTTACAGTTTTGCTCGTCACTGTATGTATGTACATATGTATGTTTATACTAAATGTGAGCAAACAACATTCTGCTTGTATAGTTTTCTGTTCTCTTTCACTGCAAGTTTAATTGTTTTAATATCTATTGCAAAATTTTGTACAGACAAGACTAAAAAGTAGAAAATAAATAAAATAAAATAAAATAAAAAACTTTTTAATATACAACGCTTTTATAAATGGACTAAAAAGTAGAAAATAATATTTCCCAGTCCCACAGAATTTGTTTTGATAACTTTTGATTTTGAAATTTTAGCAAAAGTCATTATAAACAATTAATGACATTGAAAATGAAAAGCGTGGGGCGCATGTAATACACTTGAATTGATATGAAAAGTAACATATGTATGTATGTGGGCATATGAATAACGACCGCTTAAAATCGATCTCTATTTTGTACTGTTCGCTGTAGAATGTTATGTAGTTTGACTATTGTCAATGAAATCGAATGGTTTGTACTGCATGTGCTCCACGTTTTTCGTTTTGAATGTCATTAATTGTTTATAATGACTTTTGCTAAAATGTCAAAATCAAAAGTTATCAAAACAAATTCTGTGGGACTGAGAAATATTTGGGTGGTTCACAAGGTGTCGTACGTGTCGTATTGTCGTATGTTGTAAAGTTTTTAACGGCTAAATAAATGTTTAGAGGACTTGAAATCACCACCAACTATTTTTTAACGGTGTGAAATTTCATAATAAAACTTTTGTGTTAGTTTGCGAATTCCTTAAATATAGTTTTAGCCGTTTAAAGTTTATGACATACAACAGTACGACAGTATACAACACCTTGTGAGCTCCCTAATTATTTTATACTTTTTAGTCCATTTATAAAAGCGTTGTATATTAAAAAGTTTTTATTTTATTTTATTTATTAAAATATATACTGGCTATGTAAGTAGAATCATGTTTGCGTAAAATGATCTTCCTAGGTGGCGCCAAAGTTGAGATATTTCGAAAAACCGTATTTATGGTCCGATTTGGTTCGAATTTGGCATATGTAGTTGAAACATAATAAGTCATAGATTTCCAACAAATTCACCCTGAATTGGCGCTGAAGTCAAAATATAAAGTATATTCTACATAAAATACATGTTTTATTTGCGTTAAAAATTCATTTAAAAGCAATATTAACAAAAATATAACGATGGAAATTTATGTCACGTGACGCTACGTCACGAGAATACCATTCCTGCAAATTGACGTGATGGTCACTTATAGTAATTTATTGAACAGCGAAAACTGATTTTGGCGAAGTTTGAGTACCTACTGCAATTAAGCAAATGGTGGTAGAACCTTCCACATAGCATTAAATTAAAGCTTGAACTTTCGACTACAGTCCCTGAAAGTACCATTCTTGCACGTTGACCCTAGATTAACTTATAGTCATTTATTAAACAGCCAAAACTGATTTTGACACAATTTTTTATTTTATTTTTTTCATTAGCACAATTTTGAAGTATTCTTTGATTGTTGAATAAATGACTATAAGTGACTATCAGGGGAATGTGCTGGGATGGTCTGGGGTAGTAGTCGCAGCTTTAATTTAAGCGTAAGTGGAAGAATCTATTCTTTGCGAGAGCTTTTTAAATATTGCAAAAAAACGCGAGTTTTTGACACTTTGACCAAGCTTTTCTCAAAATGTGGAGCTGGTGGAAACTTTATACTTACGAATTCGCAATCAGCACAAAAAAGTCTATCAAAACCAGCTTTAACATTTGCTGCATCAAAATCAGTGTTGCCCTATTCTATCAATGTTATAAGTTTATAAATTGAATAATAAACAAGCTTCAATTCAAGTATACAACAAAGGTGGCCCGGTATAAATGTAAGTTCGATATTTAAGTATGTAATACAAAAATTCAATGGATAAATATTAATTCAACACTTAGGACCAAATTCACAGTGAGCGCTGCTGCCATTCAATAGGATGGAAAAGTGTTCCCTACATAATTCAATTACTTTCTAAACATCGATCACTAGTTGGTTATTCTTACAGGAATCGTCCTGGTCTTGAAACCTTCCGTAAGACGCATAACAGTAGTTTTCCAGGGTTTTTCATGTCACTCAATTTACCGGACTTAAATTTAACGGGAAATGCTAGAATTGGTTGGTTTGCAAAGTTTACGAGTCGGGCAATCCATTTGATGATTGTCAATCTTTCCTTCCGGTGATAAAAGTGGCAAGAAGAAATATGTCCTTGAATTATTTAAAAGGCCTCTAGAAAAGTCTCATGGACACGGATTTTCCCATACATTGGCATTAAAGAGATAGTACCCATCAATTCAATCAAGCCTTTTCTTAAAGCCACGAATAAATAAAAAAAAATTGCAAAAACCCAAAGTAGCCAAGTATTTATTTTCACCCCTTTTCATCGGAATTTATAATTCTTAAATATTAGGCCAAAAAGAAGCTGCTCCGATGCCTACAGTTAAAATTATAAGACCGGCTCTTGAAGAAAATAATGTGGTATTGAAATGATCTGTGGTGAATATACTTAATTAGTTATTTACATGTTTGTACACATGTGTATATTATGTTTCAACTATTTTTAATGTTTTTTTTGCCCTTCTGTTAAAAATATAGAATGTCCAAGAGAAAACCACGCAACAAAAAAAAAAACAAGAAAGCACGGAGCAGAAAAAATGTGGTGTCTGCAAGTGGGTCCTGGGCAGCCTTGTATTGATCACAGTGATTGCTAGTGTGTTGATCTACGACACGAATGTAAACGGGAAAGGTGTGTTTGAACGTTCAACTACCGGGAAAGTATTGAAGAATGCCGGAGTGTTACCGCATGTGAAGAATGCTTGGTACATGTCGATGGGAGCTGCAGCACGTGGTTACAAATGGGCCGAACTCCATGTGCTACCATACGCGAAGCCTGCTGGCCAGCTGGTGTGTGATATCTTCAGATTGTCACGCAATGCCGCCTTTAATATATATGGTGTGTTCTCAGATTTTGTAACGTCTAAACTACCTGTTGCTGCGAACTTTGTAAGTAATTGTATTTTATGCTAATTTATGCACATTTGTAAGAATTTACGGCAACATCCCA